TTATGCTTTGTGTTGTTTTTTTGTGGGATTTAAATCAGCAAGCTTCTTATTCATCGATCAGAAACGCAAACATCCATCAAAAGACTTACTAACATTTGATAACAAGAGAAGTACCATGCGCTTAGATTACTGGATTTGTGGAGTCAAAAAAGGAACAAGTTTGTGTGAAATCATTGTGTAGCCACATAACGGTCTTATGCTCAAGGCAGACATGGTCAAAATGTGATCATTATACCAATGATGGATATTGTGAGACTTTCAGCTTCGTTTTGAAGATCACCAAAGTGTTAAGCAGCATTTGATGCAGCACTACCGAAAGAATTTTTTCCTAATGACTTCGTAGCAGGCGGATCCAAGAAACATAAAATCTGAAACAGCCCTAGTTGTGTCTGAATCTATTACAGTATCGTTGGAAGTTTATTGGGATTTGTGATTTGTAGCGTATAAAATTTCGCAGACCGTTTTCTTTTCCAGGTATCTCAATTACGGAGACCCGGATTGGAAGAACGAAACGAGAAAAGCACTTGCGCAGTTGAATACATACAGTGATGAGGTTGTTCCATTTCAAATCAGTTTTTTTTTACCTATGCGTCGTGTTTCTTGGTAAAGACCGAAAGATCGAGTAGGCGTGTAAACCGTACACATCGGGTGTGCGAAGGGAATCGATGAACTTTGCAGCTATTTCACAAGGTGGTGCCGTCACACCTGGCCATGAGTGCTATCGGAAGAAGCTCAGCATGCGCGCGACGTTTAACATCCCAGTGATTTCCGTCGAAGTCGCTTTGTCTGAAGAATTTGAGTGGTGCTGCTACTTTCATAGGGGAGGCAGAATGTGTTGAAGCGTCAAAGAAAACCGTCACACCTGGTTATAGGTGCTAGCGGAAGAAACAGGGCATGCACGCGACGTTTAATATCCCAGTGACTGAAAAAAATAGTAGCTGAATGAGATGAAACGGCTAACTTCTGTTGTCGGCACAGACTCCCTTTTCTTTCAACGTGATGTCCTGTTCTATGTTGCGTTCTGTTTCATTCCCAGTAATTCCTTGACATCTCAGGTACGACGCAATTTTGAAGCGACTATAGATTGGTTGCACGAGCATGCCTGCTCCAGAAGCTACGGACTCGGTCAGTCACATACTTTCTCTTCCTCTTTTACTACGTAGACGCCTAACAATTTTACGCAACTTCATAAACAACTTCAATAGAAGTACATTTTTCAGGAACAAAACTCCCTTGGGACCCGCAATATCTTATAGAGTCTTTGTCCGATTCCACTATCTATAATGCCTACTATACGGTGGCTCACATGTTACAACAAGGCTCCCTCGATGGTAGCGTTGTAGGACCAGCAGGAATAAGGTAATTACCGTTTTTGTCATTGTTAAAGGAATCTTCCGCGGAAAAAGCTCCGCCTCCATTACCACAGAAAAACGATACCCCTTAGGCCCCTAGCCTCATGAGCATAGCAAAAAGAACGGAACATAAGCGTTAGTTTCGATAATACTAATCCTACACACAAGACAAAATGATCACTCTTTCCGTGGAAGATTCCTTTAAGGTATCGTTTTCTGTGGTAATGAGGGCGGAGCTTTTTCCGTGGAAGATTCCTTTAAAATATGACGACCATCTTGTCTGGCTGATTTCTCCCGTAACTAAAATTACGTATCCGAGCACGAGTTGACCATTATGATGAGACTTACACCGTCAAGTGTGTTTTTTGCGTAACATCATGAAGATTTGTTCTTCTCTTACACAGTTGAAGCTGGGTGGCAACATGTCCCATAAAACTTAGCATTCCAAACAAATTTGAGAACTTCGCTTACTCTTAGGTTTTTTTCATTTTTTTCGTATCTTGTCGCTATGTTTACTATAGCGTGAGCTTGTCGCAATGTCGTAACTGATGTCCAAATGTCGGTACGAAAATTATCTCGTAACAAGTGACCCTCAGAAAAAATAAATTCAGAAAGTTAAAGATGTTAGCCTCATAATTACTCAAATCGCGAACTACGATTGTGCAGCGATGAGTATACTGTGATATGCTTTGTGATGGTGAATTTCAAGAAAAGCTTAGAAAAATGCTCAGCATGATCAGAGCTTCGTCCGCTGATTGGTGAGCCGTGTTACCATTCATTCCTGGCTGTGTTTGATAGCGTGGGGAACTCCTAGGTGATTATTTTCACTATTTTCACACTATTTTCACCCTACCCACCGCTTCAGTTCTTTTTTCGAATAGAGGCGCCGCCTGCGCTGTGCCTTGTCGTGAGGGTGTTCGAAGCCTCAAATGTCCTTATCCTTCTTTGCTTTGAAGGTGATTTCTGTTTTGGGGTTTCTGGCGGTCCACTCTTCAGCTTATCGACACGATGGTGGCCCTTGGTTCTCCAGCGGTTTCTTTCTGTCTTTATGGTTTTTATCCATAGTCTCTGCTCTTCGGTGCTTCATGAGAGTCGGGCTGTTCCTATTTTGTTCAGCTAATTCTTCCCTTTGCCCTGCTCAATATTATTTACTGGTCATCCCACGAGTGCTTATGTTCAGGGTGTACTGTTTGTTTTGTTGTTGTTCTAGTTATCCTGACACGGTTCGGTTTGTTTTTCTGGTTGTTGCCGATGGTGCGCCTCGAGTGCATATTAAATAAATAAATAAAATCAAATTTGAAAAAAAAGGCGGATCAAGGTCGTGTTCAAAAACGATTGATGGTATGCAGCTCATTACAAATGCTCCTTTCGACCCTTGATCTTCCTTATTTCGTTTCTGCCATCAATGTTTTCATTTTTGGCGGGTTTGAAATTTCAGAGCTGATCAAGCAATACTGATGCGTATGGGACTACAATTCTCTTAGGAAATGTGTATGATTCAGCTACAATGCCTGTCCCCGAAGAGAAACTTATTGCTCTTCGAAAGGAGTTTTTGTATTGGTAAGTTAAGCAGCACTGCTTTTGCAATTATTTTCTTCGTCATTCTGGGTTACTTTTTTGAATGCTTATAGATAAACATGGCTTTTTATTATTTCCATTCAAGGTATCCTATAGATATGCGTGTTTCTGGAAAAGATCTTGTGCAAAATCACCTCACCTATCTGCTCTACAACCATGTTGCGATATGGCCTGATCAGCCGGAACTGTGGCCAAAAAGTATTCGTGCCAATGGACATCTTTTGCTCAACAATGAGAAAGTTGGTTTCAGTCGCCTTGTCTCTTTTCTCATTCGTTGTATCCCCGTTTTATAACCGTTTTTCTCGTTTTGATTTTGGAATTTTTGAAATGAACTGTTTTCAAGTCTATCAATACTTTTAGATGTCAAAGAACACCGGTAACTTCATGACGCTCATCGATGGTATAGAAACATTTTCTGCAGATGGAATGCGTCTTTCTCTCGCGGTTATTTTTTCTCAATTTCAAAATCCGGGAACCGAAAATGTAATATTTCCATACAGGATGCTGGAGATGCAGTTGAGGACGCAAATTTCGTATTCAGCATGGCTGACGCCGCCATTCTCCGACTTTATAATTTAATTGATTGGGTGAAAGATATGGTGAGCGCACTTGTGAGTGACTGCTTCAAGACGTTTTAATTAGCGTCCTGTCTGTAGGTTGCTTTACGTGATCAAAATGGTCTACGAAGAGACGACTGTAGCAGTTTTGCTGATAGAGTCTTCGCCAACGAAATGAACAAGAACATACGAATATGTGCCCAGCATTATGAAGCGACTTTATTCAAAGAAGCTTTGAAAGTTGGATTCTTCGAGTATCAGGTCAGCATCCATCACTCTGTTTACTTAGTTGTGATCGTTTCAAATAAGTGACGTTATGACTCCAAAACACCTCCTCAAGTCATTGATGCGCGGAATTATATTTTCTCCGTATGAGAGCTAAAGCTCTAGATTTTATTTTTTTTACGAAGATTGAAGGGTTGATGCGGTTTTCCTTGGATATGAAATCAGCGTAGTTTTCTGTACGGATGTCATCTGTTTTCTGAACGTTCTCGAGTTTTGACCTAACATCCCAAAGTTTGCTCATTGTTTCAGGCTCTACGTGACATGTATCGTGAGATATGTGGAGGTCAAGACGGGGCGATGAATGAAGAGTTAGTATTCCGCTTCATTGAGACACAAGCACTGATCCTTTCGCCAATATGTCCGCATATCGGAGAGCACATATGGCAGATTCTGAAGAAGGTTAGTTATATGCTCTGAGAGCCAGAAATTATGTTGATTAATATTATTCAGAATGAACTGATTGTGAATGCGAAGTGGCCAGAAACTGCTGAAGTAGATGAAACTTTGTGCAAGGTTTATGTTTGCATTAGTATTGTTTCTCCCATTTTTGGATATGAAATAAAAAATTTTCTTATAGGCGGCTGTGTTCATGCGAGAGGTCATGGCCGATTTCCGAGCACGTGTAAAGAACTCAATGAGTTCAAAAAGGAAGAATGCCTTCACGTCTCCTCCACTGGAAGCCATTATTTATGTAGCAAAGGAGTTTCCCACGTGGCAGAAAACTGTGTTACAGTACCTCGAAAAACAAGCTCAGGTACCTTTTTTTCTGGAAATATAGAAATGTCCATTTCTGTATAGCTGTGTTTCTTCAAATTCTGACTGTCGATGAATACCACTTTGTTAGGAAAACAATGGAGTTCTGCCGGACAATAAGACCATCTCTCAAGCCTTGGGTAAAGAGGAGTCGTTGAAAAAATTCTCGAAGAAGATCATGCCATTCGTGCAAATGGTAAAGGAACAGTACGAGCAAAAAGGAATGATAGCTTTGGCATCAGCATGCGCATTTGACCAAGTAGGAACATCGCTATTTTTCATCATTTGAGGATTTTATATTTTTTTTGCGTAATGATGATTTAGGCTGCAATATTACTCGAAAATAGGGATTACATTGAGAATTCGTTGGAGCTCGATAGATTCTTCATTAAATATACTGATGAACCCGATGTGGAACCGGTGATTGCCGAGACCGTTGTACCAGGAGCGCCGCTTATGCACTTTCTACCACTCAAGGTTAGCACATAGGCATTTCAACTTTTCTTCACTGGGATATTCTTGTTTTCATCAAACTCTCTCAGGTGGAAAGGGTGCGCAAGCACAGAAACTTCTATTTGGTATAAGTTCTTCAAGCGTTTCAGGAGAGTGTTATGTTGACTGCTCGTAATGTGCATGTTGCAAACGCACTGTTCGACATTGATGTTCCAATTGTCGATGGTGATTCCGTTTACGTTGTAGCTCGAAAACTACGTCGACTTAACAAGTCCATTAAACGTAGGTGTTTTTTAAAGATCTATTGTACAGGGAGTGCTGAACCATTTTGTATGCGATCATTGTGCGTTAGAACTTTGCGAATTACTTTCAAGAACCCTGACATCCACTGACAAAAGCGGGCCTTACGGAAAACAGACATTTCTAGGGAGATTGCTCCCTGTGCTTTCGACAGGTTTATTCGTATTAAGCAAAGCGATTGTCAACTTTTAGGATATCTGATTATTGACACCGATATGAACCTAGTTTTCTCGTGCATTCCGAACCCATATTCTCTGCGTGGTGTTTGCTTCAATCATAATTGAACTACTTTCAGCTCGGTTCACAATCACATTGTGGCGTTACCAAGATGCAGTTGGAGGTGATCGGAAATTGATTAGTAATGTTGATCCATTATCGATGAACGAGCAACTTCAGGATAATGGTGGGTAATATTGGAAAACTTTCGAGCCACACCTGTGATCCATAAATTATGGCCTCCATTTCGTTTCAGATACGTTTGTTGTTGATTATGAGAAGAAATTGGTGTC